TTTTTTGTAAAACATGTTTATTGAAATATGTAACTTCTTTATATGTATATTTTTTATATCGGTTTGAACTAATATTGTATGCTAGAGAATTGTCTCAATTAAAGATTAATTACACTCCATTTTTGACATGGCCCATTCACGGTATTACCCTTTAAACCTCTTTCTGAGTAACAATGTGGAAGACATCGCAGTTTTCTACCTGATTACTTGTTCAATTCTGACATCTTTTATTGTCTCTCTGCGGCTCTTACAAAGGCACTTCTACAGATCGACACCACAAATAAAAAAAAAATCATATTTAAAATAGAAAAAAAAAAAATCTTTTTGATGCCCTTGATCAAACAAAGGTTTAAAGGGTTTCGTTGTGAATGAGACAAGACAAACTTTAAAAAAAAGGTTACTGGAAATCACAACTACACTCCCTTTAACCAGCGTTCCCTTAATAATATAAACAAACTTAGTTTAGTGAAATTGCGAAGTTTCTCAAATTATTTTCGTGTTGCATTCGCGCAATATTACAGTCAGCAGTTTATAAATTATTTTCTTCAAGATAAATACCTTAATAATGATGAAAGAACAAAACACAGGAAAACAATACACACGTCCTGGTTCCCCCCCCCCCCCCTTATCCCCCCCACCCTTATCCCCCTTCATCTTATAACCCACTGCGCCTCCCCGAGCCAAGCACTGAATGTTATTTTCAAAATTCCGAAAAATCTGAATTCATATCTTATCTACAAGAGACACCTGCAGTGTATTCTTGAAAACATATTTAGATAGATGAATGGATACTACAAGGATAGATAGATAGATAGATAGATAGATAGATGAATGGGTACTAGATAGATAGATAGATAGATAGATAGATAGATAGATAGATCGATAGATAGATAGATCGATAGATAGAAGGATGGATACTAGATAGATAGATAGATAGATAGATAGATAGATAGATAGATAGATAGATAGATAGATAGATAGATAGATAGATAGATAGATAGATAGATAGAAGGATAGATAGATAGATAGATAGATAGAAAGATAGATGAATACTAGAATGGGATAGAAAGATAGGTTAAAGAACGCATTTTTCATACAAAAGTCGGTGAATCCATTATTGAACAATTACTATATAAAATTCTCTAAATTTTTGGGTTTTAAAAATTCCAATTTTTTAAACTGCAACAAAATTTTCAATGGTGGCATTTTTTAGTTCTGACCTGCTAGGCCCATCTCTCCGGACAAGTAAGGTCCGACACAAATTTTAGCTCATTTGGTTTTGTGTATTTTTTATGGTAACTCATTTAAATAATTACGAAGTATAATAGCCATAAAGGTTTAATTACGTTGTTTCCGAAATTTTATCATCTGTAACATCTTTTTATAATTATTTGGTTTTTTAATATTATTATTTTTATGATATATTTTTCTGAGAAAACCAGGCTTTTAAGGCGCTTCGCGCGCGCCCATCTTATATTTCAACTTGGCTGTGAGCATCTTCTCTAGCTAGTAGAAGTGTAAAATATAATTAATAACAACAAAAGAAAATTGGCGGATTTTATAATATTTTTCGCGCAATTCAAAATTTTACAAATATTAAAAATCTTTTGGACACAATTTTTTGTGATTTTGAGCATCTATAAACCTTTCCTGAGTCATGTTAGGACGCCACACAAAATTTTGCCCCGATCGGTTCAGCTGTTTTGACGTTTATTGGATACAAACAGACAGACAAACAAACCTAACATCCAGCCAAGCAAAGTATATATGTATATATAAGATAAGAAATTGAGCTAATGGAATTAAATGGGCCTAGTGAGTTGATAAGTGAATAATTGATTCATCAAGTCTTGAGCCCGTGAGCTATATTTATGATCAAAGGGTTCAGCTGATCAAAAAAAAAAAAAAATCAAGAAATTCACAATAAAGCTCGATTAAAATCTCAATCACAAAAATTGCCTTTTTAGTTCTTAGACATGTTTTGGCTTGATAGTAGATACGTTTTATTTTTTTTTTCTTGTAATGATAAACTGTTCAGTAGACAAGCTTCTCGTCCCTAGACCTTTTTTTAACATTCCAGAAGTCACATAAATAATTCCAAGTTAAATTGATCTAAATTATGGTCAGGTTAGGATTTAAGAATTAGAGTGTTCGTATAGTATAGACCTGTAAAGGATTAAAGGTATACTCATTTTTCAAGCTACCCCCTTTCCTCCCCCCTTACAGTCAAGAAGTTAGTAAAAACTCTTCTTTAAACAATGCCCTAAAATATTTCGCATGTTCTTTTTTAGAACTACTTTCAATCACAATTTTGCCAATTACTCTATGAAATACTATAGCTGGACACAAGCCTTTTCATACTTGAAATCTTCGCATTCATGGCTACACAAAAAATCCGTATGATTTGGATAAGTTGTCTACCCAGTCTAAAAAGTTGTTAAAAATTCCTATAATACTACTGTAATGTATTTTTAATTTCTATGAAACCAAAGATGGGCGTAAAGGTGCAATAAATAATTGTACATTCAATCAGTAACAACATTTTTATGTATGTATGTATAATGTACAAAATGGTACACTGTACGGACATATACGTACCCAAACATTTCTGTATTTACGAACCAATCAATTCATCAATAAATCAATTATATTAAGCAATCAATTAATTGCTTATTTAATCAATTACTAACTCAATTAATCAATCAATTACTAACTCAATTAATCAATTAATTAATTACTTAATTAATAATTAATTACTTAATTAATAATTAATTACTTAATTAATAATTAATTACTTAATTAATAATTAATTACTTAATTAATTAATCAATTAATTACTTAATTAATCAATCAATTAATTACTTAATTAATCAATTAATTACTTAATCAATCAATTAATTGATTACTTAATTTATCAATTAATTAATTACTTAATTAATCAATCAATTACTAACTTAATTAATCAATTAATTAATTACTTAATTAATCAATGAATTAATTACTTAATTAATCAATTAATTAATTACTCAATTAATCAATCAATTAATTACTTAATTAATAAATCAATTAATTACTAAATTAATCAATCAATTAAATGATTAATTAATTAATCAATCAATCAATCAATTACTTAATTAATCAATAAATCAATAGAAAAAACAATTAAAAAACCCGTTTGTATAAGAGAACTCAACTATTGAGAAAATGCAGGCAAAGTGCAAATTATCTTTTTTTCTACGACCATCAAATTAACAAACCAGAAGCTCACAAACTAACCAAGAAAATATTGATTTGATACTAAAGTTTTCTTAGTCGATAAAAAAAAAATTTCAGCAAATCAAAAATTTTGTGTTGTTTTAAAACACCAGTTTAATAATAATGTTTATCAACTTAAAAAGAACTAATCCGTAACATTGTGTTGTGGAAGACGATGCCTGGCCGCCTTAAACAAGTTCCTCAAGATTCAACGGAATGAGATAGAACGAATATGGGGCATTGTACTGACGGACAATCTAACACGTGTGATATTGATATAGACTAATGTTCTGAACCCTCTAGTAATCAGGAATATCAGGAAAAAGATCTGAAAGCTCCCCCATTTTGGAGAACCCAAACCGCCATCGGGTGGACACCCGGCCCCCCAGGCCATCCTGAGATGAGGTATTACCCGGGGGCAGGCAGAACCGAAGTCCAGAAGTATACCTTACCACGTCCTAAAATGAGTGCACCCCC